TTCGATCCCCCCACACCCACCCCCTTCGGGGGCCATCATCTACACCTTTACCCCTATTTCCCTATACCACGTCGCATTTACAAAAAAATGATGCCCTCCCTATCTTTAGTTTTTAATTCGCCCTTACTTAGTGTAGGTATAAAGCAAATTCAAACGCTAATCCTTATTACGCCAAAAGCAGCTGATATAAATTCGCGTTTAATTATAAAACTCATTACACCTACGAAGTTAATTTTCGAGCGGCATTACTAAACGAAATTCTAAATAAACTTGCATCGGCCACAATAAAGGATAATGAAAAACAAATTAGGAATTTTCATCTTATTATACCGGTACCTACGTCACGATCCCAAAAGATAAAAAGTAAACATGTGTAAATATTTAACATGATGCATATGTACTCGTATACGTATACACTTGTATGCATCGCTAATTGATTGATAAAACAGATAAACACTTTTATTTGCATACCAAAATAAACATACAGGGTGATAACGGTCATAATACAACGTTAGCTTTTTTTAAAAATAGATTATTGCATACAAGGTTATCTCTGCTAAATGTTGGAATTCAATATAAGTTAGTTTGCGATTCAGAAATAATTGCAAAAAAAAGTAATTAAATCAGAAAAGAAAAAAGTTACTGTAGGTAATCAAAGCTGAAAGCTGGCGGCTTTCAATAAGCATTAGTCTCGGTCGATTAAAACAAAATGTACAATCAAATTGATGAAAACGCTAGTTCATCACTACATTCTTATTAAGATAAAAAATAAAAGTGTCAATACCATTGTTCTAACTTCCGGAATGGGTATTGACGATGAGGGTTTTTAATTTAATTTTTTTTACAAAAATATTGAAAAAATATTGTTACTTCAAATTGAAGCCACTAAAAAACAGTATACATTAAGGTCACGCGCGTACCTAGGGAGGGATTATTAGGTTAACCCCTACCCCCCACCCCGAAATTAAAATAATACCTAAACAAGAAGTTATAACACCATAACTACCAAATGGTAGTGAAGGATCTATTTAAAAATGAAAAAGTTACTATAAGTTGTAAAATTTATTTTTAAATAATATATAGAGGGTAGTAACAGCAAGGAATGGTAATTTTGTAAGAAATATGGTTTATGGTAAGGGTATGTTAACCGAGCAAGCGTGCCTTTTTGGACAATCGGAAATAAAGGAGATACTTTAACCAGAATGTGAATGAAAAAAAAAATTAATTCCAGTTGCTAGCAATTTTATACACACATTTTATGAAGAATAACTTTAGGTCCGGTTTATATACAAAAATAAACACAATTAAATTAAAAATTACCCACCCCCGAACGATTAGGGTAAGGGTGGAAAATTCCCGAAAAAGAGTTCCGTACATTTTTCCTGAAACTGTATACGACTTTTTATCGTACGGTACGTACGACTTTTCCTTATATTATTTGAAAAAATAGACTACATGTGTATAAAATTGTACTAAAAATATTGTTAAAAAAATTCCAATGTTACAGAAAAATCATTAATCCTTATTTTTAAGCAATCCGATCATTCAATATTTGTAACCTTCACGTTTCGCATTTATTGATATAGATACACAGCTATAATTTGTTGGATAAATGCTTTTAACATGTGTACATTTTACTTTACTAACAACACTTTAACTTTATCTATTAATAAATAACTTAAACTGGTTTGATCTGTCTTACGATTAAAGGCGCCATCGTTATTTGAACTAGTTTTCCACGTTACTACGGTATTTGTGAAAATTTAATTGCCTACTAGATGTTCCCGACGATTCGCTAATTAATACGGTCTGACTTTACTGTTTTACTCAAAACATATCTGCATTTGAGTCATGTGGACACTGCCATGAGGATTTTTTTAGAATTTTTGAATTTGCTGCACATGTAGGTATCTATTATTAATTATAAGTTTATGTGTTACATCCAAAGTACCTAAGGAAAATTCGTACAAGTGCCTTCAGCCATTTTTTCATATGAATAATACCTAGTAAAAGGCCAACAAATGCAATTTAGAGGGATATTACTCTTTCTTCAAAAGATTTTGAGAACTCGATTAATTTAGGACAGTTTTCACAATAGGTGACATTTTCAGATAAACGTGTAGCACGTTGCTTTTTCGCGACATAAAAAGGTAAAATTCCAGCAAAGCATGCTTTGCATTACCTGCATACATAACCATTAAACAAACGGCGAGCACAGTTACAAAGGAACGACATTAAATAGCAAAACTCGTAAAAATGGGAAAAACAAAGAATTTTCTGAAACCATAAAAACATACATATGTGTATAGGTATGGCGAAAATTTCTTCCAACACAGAAATTACACATTTCCTTATCGCCATTTATTCTTTTTATGACGAACAGAAGAAAATGAATAATTTAGAGAACGTATACGTATTCTTTTACTACAAGGAGAAAATGAAAAATAAAAATTTACCTAAATATTAAAGCGATATTTATAATTTATCCCACTGTCCCGTTGCTTTGTCAGCGAAAATCATAAAAATTACAAATTAGACCCGTATTTCTAAAAAAAATATTTTAGTTGATATTACAAATTTAATTGTAATAATTAAGAAACTTGAAATAATTTTTAAAGAAGCATATCCAAAATTGAGATTATTACAAGTTACCTAATAAATCCTATTTCTACGACAAATTCAGTCATTAACAATCGAAAATTGTAATTTTTGCATTGTCATAAAAATTTAGCTTTCCCCATGCACATCTGTCCTAAATAACACTTGCTTCTCTAAAAACCGTCCTAAACTAACCGAACTTATTTAGACGAAAAGACAATTTTCCTATTTCACGTCATATTTTTCAAAAAATGATACCGCTCTTTGATGATTGCAACAGTAGAATCCGCTTATAATGAAATCGAAGGGAAATGACAAACACGTCATACTAAGCGGGCGTCATACAAAGCATAGTCTTAGAAAATAAACAACTTTCTATTTTGGTTAGTTATTTAGTTTAATAGAGAGAACAACTACAAACTGTATATACTAATTAACACAAAAAGAAAAAGAACGATGAATTGTACTATCAAAATATTTAAGAAGGGTCAGAAAAAAGAGCGAAAATGTTATTATTAATTATTTGGGTCACTATAGCCGGATATAATTTCTTGAGAATCAGTCATAATAAACGATGTCATTTTAAACGGATTCATTATATCCAAACTTTCTTTTAGAGAATTTTATATGATAACCAAACTTAACACTGCAATTACTTCATATTAAGCGGTTACTCAATATAGGCGGAGTCATAATAAACGAATTCCACTGTAACAGAATATCTCCATGTTCAGTTATAAACTCGCTACTAGCGTATATTAAATTTAATTATTCACTTTCTAATTGCTAGGTGACAACACTTATCATGTCTAATACTTTGCTCTGTATGAAAACCAAAGCTTTTATTCTACCGCTATAATTTGAACGGGTCGAACTAGTATTGCATAAACAACTGTTAACGTGAAATAATAATTTTAATGCAACTAATTTTCTGAGAAATGCCTAATCAGATAATCACCATTCACTCCAATTAAATACAGTTTGGAAGAACGGTTGTTTAAAATTATTACTATATAAATAAAATAGTTGAATAATTCAGACGGCATCNTACTCCAATTCCTTCAAATAAAAAAGCAGATATCAAAATCGGCCGAATTTCGCTTACTGAAATACAATTATTAAGTATTTATCATTATTAAAATAAAGCAAACAGACTGTGACAGTAGTAAAAATAACTTTAAGATATAATTTTTGAACGTAAACAGCACTGAATACGATTAAAGAACAATAATTAACATGAATGTTTATAGTAGTTGGTAAATTGGAAACAATATATAAAAATAAAATTATTCAAAATTTAACTTTAAGCCAAAATTCTTCCTAAAAATCTCCCTTTGTTATAGGTAATAATCAGGGTTTTTGTTAATTTGTATATTATGCAGAAGTAACTGAAAATTCAAAATTTAAACTCCCCTTAATAAACAATAATTTGTTATAAATGAGTCAATGAATACTTTGATGTAATGTTTATTGTCGAAATAAGGGAATCAATACAGTAATACACATTTATAAGGGGGGGAATAGATAGTATTAAAGTGAATTTTGATTGAAGAGAGATTAGAGTAATATCGTCAAAATAACATTAGCAGTTACAATATTTACTTTGGCAAACAGTAACAAACATTATTCTGCATATAAGTGCCCTACAAATGTTGAAAACTGTAGCTAAAATTTTATCAGAACACCGACTGTTTTTGTCCAATTGTCTAAGTAGAAACACACATACCTCTGTGGACTGTTATAAAAATAAAACGGACTCGCTATTTGGGCCAGCCAATTGATAAACAATATTTTTGGAAGAGAAATCCGAAATTCATTAGCATCCTAACAAAATACCAACGATTTCTGAACCATTATTTAACGAAAAAATTGTCAGCAAAGTGGAATACGAAATTATAAACAGGACAAGAACGTCTAAGCAGCAATACCTATAGAATTTTATTTATTTATTTTATTTAATGTCCATTAGGACAATGATGAAGACAATGAACAAATATTTTGATATTAAGTATTTTACTGCCTAGTTTGTGTAAAATTACTTATTACATAAGTAATATCTTATCACATTATTAATATACTAGCATTAGTAGTAGAAATTTCCAAAAATAATTGCTTAACATTCATAAGAGGCAACTCAAATACCTACAAACTACTTTTCCTAATCTGCATAATTTCATTAGGCTTTGCAGAAATAGAAAATAGATTAGGTAGCCTTTTTTTGATATTGCGTAGGTATTATTTATAAAAAAAGGATAAATGTGAGTGCACAAGCTGCACATATTTTTGCGAAAATTATAAATTTTTTGTAATTCATATGACCAGGTGTTCGGGCCAATTTATGTCCATATAGAAAAGGTTTGTTTTCATTTAATATGTTGACCATAAATGTACAATGTCCTTACCTTGAAAACCTCGGAAAAAAACCCCGACCCGATTTTTTCTTGGTGAAAATCATCAAAGCGGTGTAAAGAAGAAACGGCCAATTTCAATGCTTGACAGGAGGCACCAGTCTTTAATCTATCACATCTAGATTTCGGTGGAGCAGAAAGTTCATTATTGGGGCACACTATTTTGTCGTATCCTATTTCCTTTGGATCGCATGGTACATCGTAAACACACGAAACTTTTTTACTGACGGGTTCGTTGATTCTGTTATTACTTGGGTACATCATAACACAAAAAAATATATATTGGAGTTATGTAGGACTAGCCAATTTCGTACATGTTCGAGTACGATTTTCTAATTTTGTCTTAAACGAATTTTTAAACATACTTTTCAATTTTCATGTTTTTGGTATAAGATTTTCTAACGTTTACAAAACGGTTGTCAATATTTTCACTGACATTTATTTTCTTAAAATTACACAGATCTCTTCTCGATGTATCGAACTTCCTTTTCACATCAGCATTACACTAATTTCACATTAATTTCAAATTTGCATATAAAAATGCAGTTTTTCAGCAATGATGACTGTTCATATGACAGAACTGTTATCTTAACTGAATTTTATTTTTGCACTATTTAATTTTTGATAACAACCGAAAAAGTATGTTTTACAACGAACATAGCCCAATTAAGTGAACACTTAAAACATCAGGAACAAGTAGATTATTAAAAACAAACGTCTCTTACTGTCACTTGCTTTCACTACTAAAAAATCGCACAAGCTGCCATTTTACGTGCGAACACTATCAACACACGCCAAAAGTTAAATGATTAAATTCTCGCAGGGTCTCGTAGCATCCCAAAACACCGAATAGTATTGTGTTGTTATTTTGGAACGTTTAACTTACCTTGGTCACGTTTCCAATTCCATAGAAACGTGTTCCTTGGTAGCAATCTAACGGAGAATGCTTAGTTGCTAATTATTTGTTGAGTAAATACTTTGCATTGATTAAAAACTTTCCTCTAATCACAAATCTGTTGCACGTGCTATAACCGAACATTACAAAGGAAAATATTTTCTTCAAACATCGAAATTTCCTTTACATATCAATTGCTTTTAAATTGTTATTAATGAACTAAAGTTTCTGCAATCGATATCTACATTTGGCAATACTGCAAAGAACTTACAAAAACGTGAAATCAGAATGTTCTACCAGTCGCAGTCGCCTTTAGAGTATCATCATTGAGAACCGTTATTTTCACCAATCATTTATAAATAAACCAGGCTCTAAGTGACATCTATCAATTACAAAACGTACTTTTTAAACTCAAAAATTTAATTTCGTCAACAATTTGAAAATTAACTGCTTAAACATTACTAAAAGTTTAAAAAATAATCTATTTAATCTACTTTTAATTATTCAAAAATTTACAATTGTGTAATAAAACTGGTAAGTACAATTAAATGTAACAAATAATGTTCTTGCTTTACTTTTTTATGTATTTAATATATTTTTGAGAATCAAAATCATCATCAATATCTTCTTCAATCTTTATTTTCTTCCTAGGTTTACGCCGTTCTAACCTTTCTTTACGTTCTGCTTCACTAAGTGTCCAAATATTAATTGGTAACTGAAATCAAAAGTAGAAATATTAAACAAAGTTTCAAAAAAGCATTTATCTGTTACAGTTATTATTTTCCTGGGTTCATGGTATCGTATCGTAAAAGTAGAGCCATCAGGATTAACTACCATTACAGGGTAAGTCCTTTCATATATCCTTCTATGTGGTTTCGTAATTGCTGCAGAAAGAGAATTTAAATTCCTTAGCTGCAAAGAACTACAACAGTAAACATAGTTTAATAAGTTAATCTAATAAATGAAAATAAATAGGTAAATTGGAAATATTACGTACTTATAATAATTTGTTAAACTTAATCGTCCCAAGCATCTGCACTGCATCTTTAACCTGATTTAATTTACTATCCAGTTCTGATTAGAAAGATCACGACAATTAATTAAATAATTAATTCTGCAACATATTATCTCCCATTGATTAAAAGATATTCAAAATCTTTTATAAATTATATCATTCGATGTTAAATTTGTACAAGGAAAAATTGAGGTTAAAATTAACTATTCTTTTTATTCTGTATATGTGGCCTCCAAGTTAATTAAATATTCAACCTGTATCGTTGATAAAAATAACTGTACAAGGTGTGACAAAAATTTTACTGTTAGAACACAGGAGCCGCTGATAATTTTGCGTATTTATTAAGTTTTTAAATGAATTTCTTGCAAAACTTCAACGGCAGTTAACAAAATACATCTCTACAATTTATAATAAAAACAGCATATAAAAATAAATTTAATAAGAGATTTTAATAAAGCAAAATTATGTTACAGACTTTTACAAGGTACATTTTCAAAATTTTTTATAGAACATGATTAAACGAAGAAAAACTTCGTTATTTAACATAAAATAATTTTAATTAAACATCTAACTTACAGTTACAAAAAAAAATAGAAACAGATCTAATGAAGAACTTAAAATTATTCTTTTTCGCAGTCAAACAAAAAAAAATCAAGACTTACTATTTAATAAATACTTCCGAACATTTTTAATTCTGTTTTTATCAGAAGAGTAACGTCAAAGTATAATATCAATTAAACAAAAAAACATTCAACAATTTACATACAAATTAAATCTACAAAAATCAGTGTTATTACTTATTATTATTCATAACAGAAGGTAAAAAACAAATAAAGTAGATTTTTACTTATTCATTTATTGATGCATAATCGTAATAATAAAGTAGTATTGGGCAGTTTCGACTTTTTATAGTATTTACACATACGATTGCGTATTTTCTTTGTGAATTTGAATTCTCTTAAGTATCAGTGGTATAAAATTATACGTGCTTTCTTTTTGTACACGAGTTGTATTATTAAAATAATAAATACGTAAATATACACTTTACCGTTACTTATTAACGAAAAATGCTTTTATTAATTAATTGTTTTGGTTACTCTTCCATTCCGAGTACAGCAGGTACGTTCCGAAACCATAAGCAAGTGTGTTAAATAGTCCAAACACCTGTAATAAGAAAAAAACATTATTATGTCCCTCTGAAAAGTCTATCATGTTAACAAAAAAAATTTTATGTCTCAAACATTAAAAGTAGTTTTTGTATCTGACAAAAGCAAAAAAAAAGTATTGGTTGGACGTAGAATCGAGCCCGGTTCGCTCGTTTGACAGAAGATGTTTTCTACTGGTAAAATGATAAATTAGTTAAAATTTAAATGTCTTAATGGCAACATACACGAATAAATTTTGTTTTGTGTACATCTACGGCACAGTACCATTTGAATGACAAGTTTCAATCCACTCCTTTTACAGTGAATACCGAAAAAAGCTACGACAAACCTCGTCGTTCATGCATTTATTAATAATGTATAAGATCATCGTTTATGATGTCATACTTACACCTGCAGCCAAATTGACCCCTCTGAAGTGTATGTAAGGTCCTGCCCATACCGAAAGTTGAACAATGAATGCAATCAGGTACATCACTGTACATATACAAGTGTTTAGAAGTTCCTGAAAAAAACAAAAGCTTTATTAATTATTTGATACTCTAGCTAAGGGATGACACCTTGAAGGGTGTTTTAGGTTTACTTAAATATTTTTAAGTGGAATTTTAGGTTTTGGTGATTTATTTGTTCAGTTCCACAAAATTCTATTTGATTTTCCTGTATTTATAAATTACTACGTGACTTTATGATAAATTATTAGTTGCACGATATGAGAAAAGAAAACTAAGAAATCTCGTGTGCAACGTTTTGCATTTTTGAATATAATTATGAGTAAAATAAGTCTTGAATAAATATTTTAGAAATGTTGAAATTTAAGAAGGAATAGAAAAGAATGTGTTCTTCAGATGTGTATGTACATACACAAAACGGTGTTCTTATTCGTGCACCTAATGCTAATGTTCTCTGGAATTTCGCAACCCAATTTTTGCGAGAGCGTAGGAAGGACAGACATTCTGATCATTCAATATATTCAAAATATCTGCATAAATTTGCCTATCGCACAATCATTTCAAAACTAGGTGCATAACTACCAATAAATAGTTTTATATTTAATTTACCTACACTTGGTACAACATATTGATCAGTGGCGGCTCGCATATGAGCATTCTGAATCAGCAGCACCTCATATTTCCATTAGATATTATCGATAACATTTAATATAATAATAATCTTTAACTTAATGTCAGTCAGTATCCATCCTCCAGTTTACGAAAAATTTATAAAAAGCTTTTTATCGAGCTGTGCGCTTTGCAGTTCCAGAGGCGTTAGACTGTTGTGCGCATGAGCACATAGGAAGTTGAATTTGCGAGGGAAAAATAGGACTATACCCTGGTTGTTCCGGAATGCCGACCTGCACGTGGTGGCGGAAAAAGGTTTTATTATTCGCGTGTGTTTAATGTTTGTTTCTGGACTGGCAACTCCACGAATTTTAGACACGAGCCGCCACTGATTTTAAGTATAGTACTTGGTACCTATCGAGAAACCCTATTCAAATGTTTTATGAAAAAAAAAATAATAAACTTAATTATTTTAAAGACGGATTTATAACAATTTATTGTCTTTAATGTTTAAAAAGCTCTAAGCTTAATTGTGAGTTACTGGATAATTAACAATTATTAAATTAAATTTCATTTTAATTTGGTAAATGACGCTACAATAACACGTCTATCGAGTTAATTAACTAATCGTAGTTTTTATGATAAAGCAATTATGAGTATTATTGTGGAAACATACTGGGTGTTAAAATAATTCGAAGTGGTCTGTATTCTGTCGAAACTGCCAGACGCGGATCGCGATTTTGATCTTTTTGGATCTCATCAGCGCGTCGCAGGCAGCTCCGACAGAACACAGACCAACTTTTACCTGCTGTTTTAACAGTGCGTTTTAGAAAATACCACAAATGGCGCAGTAAACGCCATCTGTAGCACGATGCATACGTAATCCTAAAATGTAGCATGGTGCTACGGATGGCGTTTACTGCGCCATTTGTAGTATTTTCTAATACTGGGTGTTGTTAAGTCTGTACTTATTTCCAAGTATTTTTTTGTTCTATAAGAAATCTAAGCATTTTCACTTCGACACAAGTGATGCATATTGGGAAATTATTTGTCTTGTGAAAATTAAGGCAAATTGTTTCTCGAACATAAAAGCCATATAAGTAATTTCTTTTTTATATTTAACTATTTGATTTTTTTAAACGAGTCATAACACCTATTTTAGATTCTGATGTATCTACACCTCAAAATACAATACAACTTCAACTTGCATCTATCTCATTTCCTTATGTCTTAATTTAATCATGTGATCGTTGCAACATTCTTTCAAAAGTCACATACTTTGAAGCAACCTTGAGCTGCACCTTACACAAACACGTTGATATGAGTACATACATATTTGTGCAACATGCATACAAATACGATGAACATATTTAATGACAACATTAATACATATTAAATGTGTATTTTTATAGAAATTCCGTAAAAATCGATCTTTGTAATAACATACCGGTTGTGTTATCATGTTTTGTCTAAAAACAAAGTGTGGCTATTTATTTGAGATAACACACAAATTTTTAATCTAAAAAGTATTTTATTTTAAAATGTCGTCAATCAGCAATACATCAAGCATTATTCATAAATATAACAGACAATGACTAATGTATTGTAAGTCAATAGTTTGTAAAAATCTGTAGTTGTACAGAATTTTTTTTTTAATGACTTACCGTAAGCAGCCAGTTAATTGGCAGATTTAAAGCCTCCCTAACACCAAGTAGATATACAAAAATCCATATAAGGGTACCAATAAAACTCACTGTTGCTACAAACAGGAAAAAGTGGGTTCCCGACAGATATGCTGGTGACGCTAAGGTCATACAAAGAATTCCCAAAATCTGCAAAAAATTAGAACAAATGCATTAAAAGCTTATTCTTATCTTCGTTTTTATTTTGTATGAAGTACAATATTTAGTATACTTTGACATTTTACGATAACGAATGATAAATCAACTTACTTTTTTCTAAAGGTAATGCTTTCATGTTAAATGTCTGAAACAGGTAGGTGGTTGGAAATTATAAATTGACTTTTTTTATTGGTCGTATTTCTTAAGAAACGAGACACGCGAGAAACATATTAACGAATATAAAAAGACTATTATTCTTTAACCGTCTGTACCTCTTTAATGATAAAAATTATGCTTTTATTCGAATTATTTTATTAAATAAAACCCTTTCTTGATAAGCAAGTACATTTTCTATATATATTTTTAATTAATTTTTAAAATTTATATTCAAACAAAATATTTTACAGCAATTCTATGAAATTTCAGAACAAATCTGATTCATATTAAAATGAAAAGTAAATGAAAAAAAAATTGCTAAACACGATTTTTATGTATTAGATTATATGTACCCGCGTAAGTATCTATCAAAAAAATAAATAGATATTTTGTGTAATTATTAACCTAACAGAGAAATCGATACCAATTACTGTCCTTTTCATTTTTAAAAGCAATGAATATTTTATACAGTTTCCATATGAATAATTAGCAATCGACATTTGTCATGTAAGTGTAGCCATTAGAAATTAATGTTCTTTAGCTGTATTACTACTGTAACTATTCCTGTATTATTGATTACAAATATGTCGAAATGTTTCTTACAAACGAAGTGATTGCGAACGGTTTTCAGGTCATACATAATATTTGTAATGGAGCAAGTACGAACTGAAATTTTCATCATTAAGTTAATACACGATGATTATCTCGGATATAAAATTGATCTCCATCAGCAATTTTCCTTTTCATTATTTAATGGCAATAGGGACAGTTCTGATCAAGATGATATTAACATCAGTATTGTTTGATGTATATTGCCTCGTTATCATAAAAAAACAAAAAAAAATTAAAATAATTCGAAGTGGTCTGTATTCTGTCGAAACTGCCAGACGCGGATCGCGATTTCGATCTTTGTGAATCTCATCAGCGCATCGCAGACAGCTCCAACAGAACACAGACCAACTTTTACCTGCTGTCTTAACAGTGCGTTTTAGAAAATACTACAAATGGCGCAGTAAACGCCATCTGTAGCACGATGCTACATTTTAGGATTACGTATGCTCCAACAAGGTCCACTTGTGTGGATATCTACTTGCTGAAAACGAATCCCGGCGTAGCCAACCTCAACGTGATAGGCACGTTAGCTTAATCGAATAAAATAATTCGAAGTGGTCTGTATTCTGTCGAAACTGCCAGACGCGGATCGCGATTTCGATCTTTTTGGATCTCATCAGCGCGTCGCAGGAAGCCCGACAGAACACAGACCAACTTTTACCTGCTGTCTTAACAGTGCGTTTTAGAAAATACTACAAATGGCGCAGTAAACGCCATCTGTAGCACGATGCTACATTAAAAAAAAAATTACTAACCCAACCGAAGCCAAAAATCGAACGTATTAGTAGACATCTCTCTCCCTGTTACTTACTGCTTGCAAAGAGAGAGAAGTAGATTCGATTAGATTAATTTAGATTTTAAAATACCTAATTCTTCTTAATTTTGGAAAATACGAGCAATACTAATATACAAAGACCAAACCGATCGTGTATGTTTTTTAAAACGGAAACCAAAAGAAACATAATAATGGGCCAGAAAACAATTAATGTGCTACTGCTACGCGTAACATGTTTGCTAACTTAATTTGACGTCTATTAATACCTCTAATACAGTCGGCCATTTTATTCGCCAACTTGACCCACAATATCGTTCCATCGGCCATTATTTCCTAGGACCAACATATAATCATTTAGAATCATTTATTTTTTTGGCGGTCAGGCTATTTTTAAAAATGATTTTTAAACTGCACAACTTCAAAACAATTCCTTGAAGAAAATCGTAAAAACAGAAATTTACACCAAATATTGTCGTTCGTTATTGTAAATGTAATTTATTATTTATTTTTCTTTTTTTTGTTAATGACGCCAAAGGCATGCAGAAACCATATTTTAGTGCGTTCGAATAGGGTGATGTAATTTTCTAGATATAAAACTCGGCACTTTTTTAACCAATTTTCAAATTTGGCATTATTTACGAATTTTATAGTTTAACTATTATAATTTTCTTTTTTAATAAAAAAAACCTGTTGATTTGGATCTTAAACAGTTCTTTGATTATGTGATCAACTGTTGATGATGATAAGGATCATTTTGTAAACATGATTATGTAATCCAAGGGATCGAATATTTAGAAACCTTTAATAAACCCTAACAGAGGCCAAAAGTTATTAAAGTAATGACTTAAGAGTAGATACACAATTTGTATCAAATAGAGAATAACCAAATGTCATAGTGTCAGTGTAGTTTCCGTCAAAAGTACAAAAAATCAATCTATTCAATTATTTCAAATTAATGTTAGTGTTTTATGGCCATATTTTAAATTTGAAATGAATTTCAATAGATACAAATACGACGACGATATATGCTGTAACGAATCCCATATGAAATGCAACACCTGTCCCTATAGGAACACAGAAAAGAGATTGTTCCGTCCAGAATATCATGGACAGGGAGATTCAGGACACAACAACGTCGTAAATTACAGAGTGTCTCGTAATCCTTTTTTTAATTTCCTCAATGATTTTCGACAAGTTAATAGATGTCTCTCCGTAACGGAAGTGGCAAAGAAAGCGGGGAAGGAATGGGGCAAGTTACCCCTTGAGACTAAAAGTATTTATATCAATATGGCACGCGAAGCTCCGAAAGTTAAAAGAAGGTCCCGAAGAACTACTACTACCTGTTGCCTGTGTTGCCGATGTCGTTGTAGATTACGAAAAAATATTATGACCAAATCACGGAATGCCCTTTTTCCACGACAAACTATGACCAGAGGGACCACTTCTTGCAGGAGCAGATTTGTAACCAGCCGAAAAAGAAGAAGATTCAGAGTGGATCCGGAACAACAAAATAGTTTCTCATCACTTTTAGAATAAATTTAGGAGTGAAGAAGTATGTGTAACGTCCACTTTTTTTTTTAGAGTTGAACTGGTGTATAAATAAAAAAATTTCGAACTTGTACACCTCTTTTATTATCAAATACGGAACCCATTTATAGGTGTAATCATTGCCATTCTTTCATGTGTGAGACTATTCTAACCTTAAAAACATAATGCACCTACTTCAAGTCAGTAGTAGAACCCATCATACCATGATGTGCTCAAGGAGTTCATGAAACAGTATTATATCAAGCAAAATGTTAACAATCCTTTCGTCATATCATGATGCACCCCGATAAAAAGCTTAACAGATCGAGGAACTACAGTTATTCAAATTGTATGACTAGCATAGCTCGGTATATTGTAAAATAGTAGCGATTTTGTCCGTAGTAATGAGACTGATCTCCGTATGGCGCTCTAGTGGCTATTAGCCTGCATTCCCTGCGACGGGATGTATGTATAAGGTGAGATTTCACTGGGCGCCATGACCTCAACTGCTTAGTATTCGGCAGGATTCTGAATCGATTCTGGGTCCATCTGTCCTAGTGCAAGTTTTTCTGTGGTTTTCTTGAACCACATAGGCAAATACTTGGGCAGTAATATTCCACAGATAATCTTTCACTCTCTTTTGTCTTCATTTCCTCCATCTCATCTTTCTCAGCGCAACCATCCCCCCCCCCCCACCTAGTCCCACAATTCCCGAAAGGAAGCTGAAGAGAGTCTTCCGCCCTGCCACCCGAAAATGATTGCCCGCCCAGCAGTCATAGCAGGTGTGACTTAAACGCCATAGCGTCCGATCTCTGACCCAGTGATGCTTTTCAGTTTCATCACGAAATACCAATAACTGGTGCGTTCACTATTAAATTTTGCTTTCATCTGGTTAAAGAAGTTTATGAAGACAACGCCCTGTTGTCAAGGCCTTGGGGTTTCCAATAGTTTAGTGAGTTTAAGAACGGGCGGAAGACCGTCAGGTCGACAGAACTACCAACTTGGAAAACTTCCAAATGAGGAAAATCAAAGCGAAAAAGGATGAGAATGGGCTTCTCTATTTCATTACCCATTCGGGCTGGGGATCATTGAAGACATACAGCGATATGGGCACCTTCAAACGAGTGATTTGGAAGAAAATGTACCCAAAATAAGAAATCTGTTGTACCTACGTAGGTAGAGCCGACAAAACGGAAACGGCTGGAGATTACCAGCTCCAAAGACTTTTTCCTGTTCCCAGAGCTGAAGAGACGTTTGAAAGATCGTTGAAGATTATTACCCTATCCGTCGTTTTTAAAAGAGGTTACGGCAGCTTGCTTCCAGAAGGTCTTCATAGTTTGGGAATTGCATTGGTAGCGGTTTAATCAAGGCTTAATGAAACGATTTTAAAGAATTTTAATAATATGTGATGATCTGGAAGAAAAAGTAGGAAAAGAGCGAATATAAAGATAGGAGAAGAAAAATTAGAAGAAGTGGCCGATTTTGGGTATCTAGGAAGTCAGATAAGTCAGCACAGAAAGAGTAGTAGGGATATAAAGCAGAGGATAGCGCAGGGTCGAGTCGCTTTCAGTAAAAAGATATCACTTCTATGCTCGCGAACGGTTAACTTAAAAATTCGAACAAGATTATTAGAGGTGTATGCTTGGAGCGCGGAGATGTACGGGTGCGAAACAGACGGTTGACACGGCGGAAAAGAAAAGATTAGAAGTTTTCGAAATGTGGTGTAATCGACGAATGATGTGTATACCGTAGATAGAGAAGGTTAGAAATGAAGAGGTATTAGAAAGAATAGGAGAACAGAGGACTCTATGGAAGTCAATAAGAAATAGGCGAGTTAGAAGGATACTTTCTCAGGTATGAAAGTCTAGTCAAAGACATATTACAGGTAGAAATGGTGGTTTTGGGGGGGTGGGGGTAGAGA